AAGTTATCCATGTCATCAGAACAATTTGGAATTTCGTTAAACATCTTTTTCAAACCTTCCCGAATATCGTGAAATGCCGGACGTTGCGCATCTTTAGTATCTTTCATGTCTCGTAGAACAAAACTGATTCTTGGCTTAGAACCTCTGTTGCTTAACGCGTCTATGTGATAAGAAGAAACTTCTAGAGTGTCGGAAATGCCGCCTGTGAGCCCTTTTATATTAAGAATTAGGATCTGAGAACACATTATGCCAAGAAGTGTCATTTTTTTATCGAAATCCGCACGCCTCGAGATATACTTTGCTACGGTGGATCCCATTCCTTCAGAATCTATGATCAAAAGATCTAATCCCTTGCCATTATGAGTGGTATGCCGGTATGACATATATGCACCTAGTTATATAATATAATAATATCTTAGTTATACGGCATGTACATATGAATTTTAGATACAGTAAAACAAGCTAGCTTACCCTTTGTGCTATGTAAAGGACGACACAGTAATCGTAATTATGTATATATGCAATGTCTATTAAAAGAGTGTAAAAAATAAATTCTTGGCTTCTTACCATCTTCCAGCCGAAGTTGAAAATCCACATCGAAATAAATAATTTAGCAGTGTAGACTTTCCTGAACTTTCAAGGCCGATAACTGAGAGAACGATTAGTTGCCGTTTGGAGTCAGACATTACTCTATTTAAAACATCCGAAAGAAAATTGGAATTTAATGTTCTAAGTGATACACCCTCGAGTATCTGAATTGCTTCTCCCTCTCGTATCCAAATTTCATATGCTTCTTCGAGCTGCCTGTAAATATATTTTTGAACTATTATAGTACTGTACTAAATTTTACATTGATCTACTGTATAAGTACAGTACGTATACGTAAAGAAATCAATAGTCCCTACCTATAATTGACATCATATAATTTTTCTAAGACTGATAAACAGCCACCTCCTGTTTCTGGCATTATTTGAGACAAAATTACAAATTCTCTCCAGAAATCATGAATCGTGATATCGTGATCTTCAATTTTTTGTCTTAACTCTTTTCTCTGAATGCCTATTTGACCGCCTTGACTTAAATTAAAGTCCGTCTGGGTCAAATATTCAAGAGATTTTTTGAAGTAAATGTCAACTTGGTTTGCGAATTTACGCATATATTTAATTTCCTTTTTTTTGATGACTTTTGCGAAATCCAAGAGGATCGGGATTGGTTTACAGTTTGCCAAGTTTTTCTGTTTCTCTTGATACGTCTTGATTTCTGAATAAATTTCCGATTGGGTTTTGTAGCTTTCCAAATCGTCAGATGCTTTAAGGCGTCCCTTGTCCCGTAGCCTTTCCATTTCAGTAAAACAATGGGAAGCAAAAAATATATCTGCACGACAAGAAAACTGAACTCTCTCCATAGAGAGTGCGAAATAGCTTTCCGATAAGAAATCATTATCGTCCCTTCTGTCATCTAAAATGGAGGTCCAATTTAACCATGGTTTTTTGGTATCCATAAGCTTTTGAAATGAATCTTTTTTAATCCTTTCAAATATAATTTTTTTATTCCTGGGAATAACTTCCATACACCAGAATTCGTCATCAATAAATTTCTCGGCCAATACCTTTTCCATTCTTTCCTTGAGTTTACCAAATATCTGAGCTTTAAATCCCCAAAACAGAACCAAAATTTTTCGTTTATGATTACAATAACTTTCGGTAGAAATGTTGTCGAGGGTGAGATTCAATTGATCTTTTGGTTCACAACCGTCAAAGTCATTACTAGAAACATGGATTACAATGTAAAAGGAAAATTTTGAAAGTGCTTTCACAGTTCTTAGAAATATAGGAGAACTAGGTTTATCATAATAAACTTCTGATATAGCAAGAGGCGGGCGAGTGTGATTTTCTGACGCAGCATGAAATGAAATATCAATAGAATTTGGATTGCAAATTCCGGGAATGTCTTCACGGTGATTGGAGAAGTTTTTATAAAGTTGCTTCGAAAATGGTTTTTCGATGCCTGTATTTTCTTGGTTCACAGAAAGGAAAAGATGGTATTTATGGGCAGTAATAATGTCACGCATGCCGTTCAGAACTTTAAGACCCTTTTTTGAGTGTGATTCATCGTTCGGAAGAAATATCGGAATAGGAATATTGGCAGTAACAATCGCATCTAGAATCTTTAAAAAAGATTTCTCGGGAACCTTATCGAGAAATGCAATAAGGAAATCTCTTCCTGTACATTCTTCAAAACGTTTAAGAATTTTGTACAAATTATCAGGTTCATCTCTTTCGTTAAGCTCCTGAATACAGGTAACCAGCCTAGTAAATGGAATGGTTCTACTGATGGAATCGACAAGATATGGAAACAAATTTCGAAAAATCCCCGTCGGATGATTTTCTTTCAAAAATGGCTCAACAAGAGTAACAAAAAGTTCGGTGGTTAATTCTTCTGTGACAAATTCTGTTGGATCTAGTTCGATTGGCTTTAGACCGAACAAAAGCATGAAAAATTCATCAATACTAAGATTCGAAATTTCTTCTACGTCCATTGTTTTTAATCAAAACTTAGGGCTTTGCACTAGTGTGCTGGGAAGGATTAATGGCTCAAATTACGCAATTAAATAAAGTTTCAAAGTTAATAATTACTACTTTTGTAATTCATTTTGATCATTATAAAAGTCTAGCTTTGTTGCTGAACTTAATGATTCAAATACAATGCCATGAAATTTTGATGAAAATATACCTATTGACTCTAAGCGTACATCATGAATGCGCATGTAGATGCCAAGTAAAGCTTAGTGCCTAAGGTATTGAGGAATGATTATCTTGATTGTTTCCCTATTAATACATAATGGCAAAACTTGTAAAAATATAATTTTTGCGTAGTATTCACTGTACATTATTTATTTGATACATCTATATGTAGACATAAAATACGTGATTTTTATAGTTTTTGAGTAAAATCAAAAATAGTGTCGAATGAGGATAAAACGCGTATTCAAAAACAAATAATTTTTTGTATCTTCTGTATTATGGCACATACGATTACTGGATTTTATTTAAAAATAAATTTTCGATTTTTTTATTATAATCCATTCCATTAATATCATTGATGAAGTTTATTAATTCGATATAAATTAAAAAAAAAAAATTATTTTATTTTATTTTTAATATTATTTTATTTTTTCGTGATAAATTAAATGAAATTTTATATCATCAAATTATAATTACAATGATAACTGGTTTAAATCGAAAAAAATTATACTGATAAAAATTTTTTGTTATATTTAAAATTCTCATTTAATAAAATCATGATATTTTATTTTAGTCAAATTTTAGTTTTTTAATAAATAATGAACAAACAGTAAACTTATAGTTACAGATATTTTATTTTTTTAACATTTAATAAACCACTAGCTCAAAACAAAGGATTTTATTTTTGTATTATTATATTAGCATGAAATTTTTATGAAGATTGCTAAAGTTAAATCAAATCCAATTATCAAATACGATTAAAATTATTATAAAAAAAATCTTTTTTATTTATTTGAAATTCTAAACCAAAAATTGAATAATTAATATGTTTTTAACCATTGTAATCGAGTTTTCTTCATTCACTTTTTTTTATTTCTCTCGTTTTTCTATATTTTTATTAAATTTATCAATATTATTTTCAATATTATCATTACCTATAATTAAATAAACTATTATAATTACATATGAGCTACTTATATCAAATACATTATTTTCTGAAAACAATATGTTAATTTATTATATTGTTTAAACATTTAAAAAATATTTGTAACAGAAAACTTAATGAGCTTGTTTTTATAAATGATTGATGCATTTGGCTGTATCAATCAAATCTAATAATTAAACCAATTTAATAATTTTTACAATAGTGTATTTATTATGTTATTTTTTAGTTTGCAAATTTAAAAAATATTTTTAAAATTTATTAAAGTACTAAAATTAATAATTTTATAATTTTAAATTTGATTGTTTATAGATAAGTATTGTTATTTTTAAATCACTTTGGTTTTATTTATTTGATATTCTTGGAAAATTAATAATATATGAAAATATGAAATAAGTTATATAACATATAATATAGGATATTCAAATATAATAACAAGAATTATTTTATAACTTAATAAAGTTTTACATTGAATATTCACTTGCAATAAAAATTCCTGTTTATAGTATCTCTTCTTTAACAATACATGTTTATTATATTACTTTAACATATTAATTGTAAATTGAATATTAAGTTTAATAACAATATTAATATTAATATTAAAGAATTCTTAGAAAGTGAAAAAAACAATTAAAAAAGGTTAGTAGAAATCATAAAATTAGAATAGTTAAGAGTAACAGAAATAATTAAAAAAATTTTATTTTAAAACAAGTCAATTGCCAATAATAAAAAAATATCTTAAATTAGAATATCTTTCTTAAGGTAGTGTAATAAATGTTGTCTAAAATTAAAAACCAATTAAAAACATATTCAATTCAATATTTGCTATAATAAAAAGAAAATAATCGAGATTATAGGAAAAAGAATATATAAAACTTGTTTGAAAAATGTAAGCAATAAAAAAAGAAACCAAAAAAAGATTAGAAAGAGTATTGTTAACCAAGTCAAAACATATATTTCTCAAGAAAAGAAAAAAGTATTTATCTTAATATCAAGAAGCAAACCTGATAATAGAAGTAATTGACTTATCAATTATTATGCCAATACTATATAATATAAAATTTAATCAAATTCAATATTTTTTCATATTAAATTAATAATTTTTTAAATTTAATATATTATATAAACTTTTGTTTTTATAATTTTTTTTCTAATATCTTTCCTAAATTTTTTTTTTTTTTTTAAGGTGAATGTGCATCAATGCGAATCTTTATTGATAATTACTATCTAGATGTGACATCAAGTGTCTTCTACATATATATTAGTCAATCTCAAATTACATTTTTATGTCTTCTATATACATAGAATTAACACTGCCTATTAACTATTTCTAGTAACAGCCTACCTATCCACCTTAATTACCCAACTATATGAACTTACCCCAGTGAGATGAGTCCACACGTCAGGTGGGATTTATCCAGGGGATGGAAATCCTGCCACCAGTTTTAAACCATCTGAACCTGTTAATCCGATGAGGCGAAGAGCTTTGTGTACCTTTCAGGGTTGATTAGAACACCCAGATAACCCGTTCAATACTTTTCGCCTGGTTCCTCAGAGAAGGTACTATACTTCTTGTCACCACCTGTGGCTTTGGATTTCCTCTTTGAGGTCCTCTTCTTTTAAGCAAGCACTGGATTGGGATAGCCCCAGGCTAGAGTGTTCTTTGTGCTACAGAGTCTGCCGTGCCAGGGGGGTTGAATCGGCCTATTGGGTATGACATATATAGGGGCCTGCACAACCTACGTATGAAGGAATTCTTCGACGATCATCATGCGCCAACCGGACGATCGTTACGCTGCGACACCTTAACGGGAAATCACAATCTCAATGCCTTACCAGATTGGCATGTGAATGGCTTCTTATAAGAAACAGCATATGAATGGTTACGGTGCCAGATACCATATTGATTCTATTCAACCGCCTTCATCTGGGGTTGAACTGGTATCTTGTGATCTGACCTGTGGAGCACTAACCACTGTGCTATAGACCCACAGGTCTTTCTTAAATATTTTTAATTAAATTAAAATTTAATAATTGTAATAGCTATTTAATAAATATTATTTTAAGTTTGAATTTTAATTTTTTATAAGTTTATACTTATAAATAAGTATATAATTTTCTTATAGTATTTCTTTTTTAAATCAAAGTTATTAAATAAATAATATCAAAATGTCAACATTCTAACTTTGTCTGCTTTATATTAAGTTAACTTTCAAAGCAAGCATATTAATTTATCTATACCATAAAGGCAAATTGTTTATTTAATTACAATACCTTTATATAATTGATTTTTTTTTTTATAAAATTAGCTCTAATTGTAATTATAATATACTGTATATTGTTGATAATGTAATATGAGAAATGGTGATGCAAATGTTATTAATACTAGTCATCAAAACATATTGTATACCATAATTAAAACAAGTTATATCAAAACAATGAATAGTGCACATAAAAAAGATGGGAAACTTTGATAGAAAAAATATAACATAAGCAAAGAAAGACTGGACAAAGTCACGTGATCCATCTCTGCTTGGTAAAATTAACTAATTATGTAATATAACAACAAAAATAATAAGGTGTTATATAATAGTTTCATCATGATTTAATATTATACTTTTTTTTTACTTTTCTTTTTTGTCTATTTTATTTTTCATTATCAAATCTTATGTAAATACTGGACTTATTGTATAAAAGAACCATGTTGTAAAAAAAGAAAAAGAGAGAACATTAGTTAACAATTAATAAAAATTGACTTTTTAGCCATAATTAATCCATCTCACCTTTAACAATAAACACTTATACTTACCATTTATTACACAAATCTTAGCTTTCATTAGCAACAAACTCGCTGATAGTAGTACAGTGGGAAATAATATAAGATATTATAGCATAATATGCTTCAGCATATTGCATATCTTAAATTTCAATAGTTAATAGTTGATATTTTATAGTAAAATTTTAAATTGCGATACTATTTTAGAATTTAGATTAATTATAGTTTTAAATATTTTATTGATTAGAATAGCTTATTTTAGTTTAATTATATATTGCATAATGTGACATTAGCTAATAAAGATGTATTATTCTAATATAAAAAGAAAAGAAGGAATAAAAATCATATAACAATATATACAAAAGACAAGATTAAGCATAATGCACAAGAAACAATATTAGATATAACAAGAAATATAACAATATGCATAAAAAAAATAATAATAAAGAAACCACCCCTTAATTAAAAACTTCTTAATTAAAATGTGTGATCAATATTACAGAAAAAAATAAATTTAATTAATTTACCTAATTCAATACTTGTCATGAAATAGGACAATTGAAATTACAAAGAGAAAATAATAAAGATTTGTCAAAAGAAGTTGACAACAGAAAAAGAAAGGAGAATTAGTAAAAACCCATCTGAACAAAATTATACACCTCAAGTAGAGAAGCCAAAAACTTACCTAATACATTATAAGAATTATTTTGAAAAAGTGACAGACTCACCAAAAGAGATATTAACAATATATATTTTTGAATTTATTTTAATATATTTTATTTGATTGATTGAGTTTAAAATAGTAATAAGTTAACAGAAGTAAACTAATTGCAGTTTTTAATAAAAAATTTTTTGTAATGCAACAGAATATATTGAATATTATTGTGAAAAGAATATTGGATAAATAGTTAATGCTTCAAGTTAACAATATAATATAAACAATTTTGATATAAAATTTGATTTTTGAAAAAAGAACAATCCTTCAAGTAAAGAATATATTTATTAAATAAAGTTTATATATTAATAAGAAATAAAAATATAAAGAGATTATAAGAAAAATATATAAATAAATAATT